TCGTGATAAATTCTTGGTGAATTTGTCACGATGGGTTAACTGATCTGACCTATTGCTCATCTTGTGATCCTCCACTGGTGCCTCGCCAGCGTAAACATGAGCACCAATCCATTGTCATCCAAAAAAATTACCAACAACCTACCAATTAAATGTAAAAACTGAAGGCTGTCGAATTCACATTCATTTGTTTTGTAACCGCATATCAACTTTGTTACAAGTTTCGTTTAGTTGTCAATTACGGCAACAATTAGGGCTGCGGCGCGGTGTGGTATAGTACAGTTAGCTGGTGGTATGTAACAGCGGTTTCTCTTATCAGAGAATTACGCAGTAGTGTAGGCTAGGTAGCCTAATTGAACGAGGTGCGAGCGATAGTTTGCGAATCGCTACGCGGTGTTCCGTGCAAGATGTCCGGTGTCGAGTGCCGTAGGTCGGGAGATGGAGTCGCGATAATGCGCAACTAGCGGTGCCGCGCGGCGCCGCTCGCGCGGTGCGCTACTGATAAGCTATCACCACGTGGTGCGCAGCAGACCGGTCGGTGCGATACCGCACTCTCGAACAGCTGATCTGTGTTTGTATCTTTCTTATCATCGGAATTGCTTTTACCAGCAACATAGATGTTAGTACGTACTACACAGATACTAACTATCACAGTTTAGTCATATTTATTGCTGACGTACAGGTAAAGTTGCATTTTTCTAAGTTTCACTGAATAATGCAGTACCTAAGGCCGATAATTCGCAGTACTTATATATACATATATATGTATTTTTTTTAAAACTACTATGGTGGCAAACGAGCATACGGCCCATCTGATGGTAAACAGTTACCGTAGCCTATGTACACCTGAAACACCAGGGGTGTCACGTGCGCGTTCCCGGATCTGGAACTCAAAATTGTGGATCCTCCGATTACAAAACTGAAATAATAACTTTGCATCTTCGTCGCTAAAATCAACACCTTTGCTACGTGTCTACAATTCCAGTAAGTAACCCACACTGTTTCCAAGGTTTTTTCTATTATAATGCGCTAGGCTATACCCTGTACCAGGGACATACAGACAGATCGATAGTCAAATAAAAAAGTGATATCTATTTACAATAAACAACGGTATAAAGTCAAGCTGACGTCCAGAAAGCCCTGTATGTTGAGGACGACGAAAGGTACTTACGTTAATAGCGAAAATGTCCGAGCAAACATGAACGAATGCCTTCTGTATAAAAATAAATGTTTAAATAAAAAAATATTTTATAATTTTATTATACATTTTTAATAAAAATTATTACTGTCGATTCGCAACTGTGGGAAGTACCAAAATTGTTAATTGAGAGTAATAATGACTCGTGTTAAATACAGACATATGTATTTATAAAAAATGTATGTATGGTGTCAATTAGCCATACGGCCCATCTGATGGTAAACGGTTTTTTTTTTGTGGATGATAATGGAATGATGCACCCGCCTGCGCTAATGGTTTACGCTGGCGGTGCATCAGTGGAGGATGATAAGATGAACATGAAGTCAGGTCAGTTAGCCCATCGTGGTAAATCTACGATGGTTTCCAGGGGGAACCACGTGGAGGTCAACCTGATTAGCAATGTACCATCATTGCTAACAATGAGGTTATATATCCACATTACTAATAGTCACCTTTCCCCCGATGGTAAACGGTTACCGCAGCCTATGAACGCCTGAAACACCAGGGGTGTCACGTGCGTGTGACCGACCCTTAAGAAACAATTAACTAAAGTAGGTTAAGCGTAGGTAGGTAGGTAGGGCACGTGTCGTACCGCGATATGTAAATTGTTAGTAGTTAGTGAGCCAATTCAAATCAGCTACTCGCTACTTGCCAGAACCTATAATGTCATAAACGAAAATATCGTTTGTTTAACGAAACCTACAGGACGTAATCACGAGCGCGCAGTAAATAATAGAATAATAGATTTTTTTTATTTATTACTTTCATCCCCTATTTTATCCCCTTGGGGTTAGAATTAATCAAAATCCTTTCTTAGCGGATGCCTACGTCATAACATCTACCTGCATGCCAAATTTCAGACCGATCCGTCCAGTGGTTTGGGCTGTGCGTTGATAGATCACTATGTCAGTCACCTTTGAGTTATATATATTTAGATTGGAGTGTCTGTTTGTAATATTGAAATAACAGTTTTCTACTACATGCGTATAAATATAAATACGGTACCTATACCAAAATTACATCTTTTACAATTTTTGTCTGTCTGTCTGTCAGTGTGTTTGTTCCGGCTAATCTCTGAAATGGCTGGACCGATTTTGAAGGGACTTTTTTTGACAGGCAGCTGATGTAATAAGGAGTAACTTAGGCTACTTTTATTTTAGAAAAATAAAGTTAAATTCCACGCGAACGAAGTCGTGGGTGTAGCTAGTTAATAATAATATCTAATTTCCTAAATGACAACTATCGTAGATATATCTTTTTGTTGTAAGTTTGTGAGTATGGATGGGTGTTTGTTACTCTATCACGCAAAAACTACCGAACTGCTTTTGACGAAACTACAGCAATATAGCTTATATATCAGAATAACACATCATTACATAGTATAAAATAAAGTCGCCACCGCTATATTATAGTATAGTAATATTGATATTACCGTTTTTTACTATACGCATATGAACGCATACAACAAAATAAAATTTTTTACAACTTTTGTCTGTCTGTTTGTTCCGCCTAATCTCTGAAATGGCTGGACCGATTTTGAAGGGACTTTTTTTGGCAGGTAGCTGATGTAATAAGGAGTAACTTAGGCTACTTTTATTTTTCCACGCGGATGAGGTCGCTGGAACAGCTAGTATGTCTATATATAAGTAATTAACGTGTTAAATAATGACCATACCGATCGATACAGTCGTGTGTAGGTAATAAATAACTATGTATAAGATGATTAATTAACAATTATACTCAGTTTATTATTAACTTTATTGACATCTCGAGCGACGCGCACACAGCTCCACTCGCTGGCTCACTTAGTAACTACATATACTGTACACATTTAACGAACAATCTATACATATAAATAAAATTGCTGTGTCTGTTTGTAATATTGAAATAACAGTTTTTTACTATGTGCATATGAATGTAAATACGGTACATACACCAAAATAACTTTTTTTATAATTTTTGTCTGTCTGTCTGTCTGTTCCGGCTAATCTCTGAAATGTTTGAACCTATTTTGACGCGACTTTTATTGGCAAGTAGCTGATGTAATAAGGAGTAACTTAGTATACTTTTATTTTGTAAATTAAATAAACTAATTAACTTTATTGTTAAATTCCATGCGGACGAAGTCGCGAGTACAACTATATATAATAATAAAGAACAACGTACCAGGAATGTATACCTTGTGTTTAATTATTAAATAAATTATTTTACTAGTTTACAATATGAATGTAATTTTTATCTATACTCATATTATAAAGCTGAGGTTTGGTTGTTTGTACGCGCTAATCTCAGGAACTAATGGTTCGAATTGAAAAATTCTTTGGGTTTTGGACAGTCCATTTGTCGAGGAAGATTTTAAGCTATATAACATAACATCACGCTACGACCAATAGGAGCGGAGCTGCAATAAAAAATATTGCACAAGGTGGGAAATGAAACGCAGACGAAGTTATCGCCTATCAGCTAGTTAATAATAATTAATTTGCTAAATCTAGGTAAGTAATTAACTACCCACCCCGGCTTCGCACGCTTCGCTTCTTTAATCCCTCTAATTATTAAAAAAAATCGCTTCAAAATTCATTGTGTAGTTTTAAAGATTTAAACATACATAGGGACGGACAGACAGCGACAGCGACTTTGTTTTATACTATGTAATGATTAATTAGGTGCTTATAGTATATTGTTGAGATTCGTACGTTACCTCATGATAGGACATGATAGGTATAGGTGTGTAAAAATTCAATTGAAGATTAATACAATGGTAGTTCAATCTTTGGATTACCTAGACCAGGGTAGGTACCTTTATGCATCAACGTGCCATTTATTCCAAAAGTGTTTAATGCGTTCATTGACGTGCCATCAAATAATTATGACTTTCTGATTATTTGGAAAATAATAATAATAAATACTCTCTATGAAATAAAATAAACAAAAGCGGTACATTTTGGATTGTTTTCATTACACGCATAAATTAAATTACTGTAAAATTAGTGCGACTTCTATTGCTGCAGGTTAGATGACAAATAATTTATGTCAGGCTTGTACGATGTTACTTTTATCTAAATGCTTGCTGAACTGGATTCATCTGTCAAACGGTTTCTAACCGAGTTTTTCATGTTATTCATCTCTGAAAATAATGACTCGCAGGCATAGGTAGGTGGAAATATTGTTAAAATAGCATGAGCCAGCTTCTTCAAGCAGTTTTATGATCGACGACGTGCACAAAATATTGTGTCGCGTATTGGTTCCCTGACCTAGGTCATACACTGCCAATAATTTCTCTTGTCGAGCCTGTGGTAGGCCATGTCACGCTCGTATCGGTTTATGTAGCCACGAAAAGAGCTGTTCACGAACCATTACGGCGTAAATCGTCTATGACAGACGCATAGGCTATTAAATATATATATATACACTTTTAATTTAATTATGTTAATCTATCAACTAGAAATTGTATATTTTTTTGTACCATTTTAAATTTTTATATTCTGTGATTCGTTTAATCTATGTACTTAATTCAAAATACAAAAAATAACCATCTTATTAATAAAAGTCGCCAATCTTCAAAGTCGAAAATCACAAGCCGTTCGTTAGATTTTTGTTTATATATAGTTCTAAGTGCACAGCATTTATAATGAAAAGAACAAAATATAGGGATTGAGATATACCAAGGGGCCTCTCTATAGTGGACAGCGGACAGGAAAGGGTAGGAAGGACCCGGGGGTGAACTGGGCGGGTCCGGGGTCCGGGGCCCGGGGCGGCGGGGACGGCGCGCGCGCAGCCCGGCGGCGGCGAGCGCGGGCCGCGATCAGTGTATGTTGGTGCACACGAGTGTGTAGTCGCGTAGTGAACTCCAGTGAATGCAGAATGCTACACGAAGCCTGGCCAGCCGCCTGGCACAAGACAGAGACCTTCGAGCTGGACGCCTTCATAGCGGAGGTGAACAACAACTACAGTCTTAAAGGCAAGTCGCAAACTGTCTTACTCACGAGGCCATCGATCATAGATTTCTCTGCAAACTTTTATATATAATCGAGCGGGTATATAGTATAATTTAGGATCAATATTGAACCTATATGGCTATATTGAGTAGGTAACTATTGCTACTGCAAGTACCGGAGTGCTGGCCTCGATATTCGTCGCTAGGTATTTGAAATCGTGTTTATGTATCCGCGCGGTGGGTTTATTGTTCGTTTCTCAACACGATTATTGGAAACAAAGCGACGCGAGGTGTGTACACGCATGCGCATTAAACAATGTAGGTTATGTGGGTAGCCCGGTAGTGGGTACGGCTACGACGGCCGCCGCCGTCCGCCACTGTTCACCACTGTTCACCACTGTTCACCACTGTTCACCACTGGGCAGCACGAGGTCGCCGACAGCGGCGACGCGTATCTTTTCCTGTTTGGTTTTGAGCCGCAGCTGTGTTTATATTATTAGCACGAGCACGCGGTGTACTAGTAGATAATTTAAAATCAATACATCTCTATAATACGGTAGGGTTGCCGAGACCAAGTTTAAGAAACCACGACTGAAAGTTCTATAATCCAGGAACGCAGTAACAGTGTTGCAATTATTATATTAATATGTAGTGAAATTCAAGTAATTAATATAATCAGGTTTTAATAAAAAGTATTTGATAAAATTACACTGTTGAATATCAGTAATTAAGAGGCGCGCATGTTTTAATAACCCAGCACGCTGACGAATAACTATTCAGGACTTACCAGGACACTTCAAAAACTAGGACATGTCCTGGGAAAACAGGACGGTTGGCAACTCTACTGTTACGTACAAATTTAACTAAACATAAAGTAGATTCTTAATAAAAAGTTAATAATAACATTTAATTTAATTTATTTTTCTTCTGTTGTATTTAATTTCTCATCACATATACATATATATTATTAGAGGCGAACATAACGGTTATTGATGACGAAGCAGTACATTTTTTTTATTATAGACGATGTTTTGGTGTCTGTCTAACGGTACCTACACTAGCGTCATACCAGTGGTGGATGGCAGCATGAACATGAAGATAAACTAATTCATTATTAGGAATACAGACAATGGTTTCCAGGAAGGTCTCGTTATTCGTCTAGCGACTAGTTATTATTACTACTTTACAATACTGTTCCCGCGGGCGAATTAATATTACCTAAAGTAGACTCGCGAGTACATACCATTACGTATATGTATATATATATATAGGCCTTTTTGTACCTTTTAATAATAATAATAATCTCAGGACAATTCACACAGAGCCATCTAGATCTAAGTTAAGCTAGTTAAAACTTGTGTTATGGGTACTAGATAACTGATACAAATACATAGATATTTTTATTTTGTTAATACATACATATTATATATAGAAAACACCCAGACCGATACAAACCATCATACTCACCTATACAAATGTTTGTGCCGTGCAAGGAATCGAACCCGCGACCGTCGGTCGTAAAGCGGTGTGCTAGACCGCTAGACCACCTTCTGTACTTTATTCGTCACAACATAAAACTGATATTTACGTAAAAATACTTATGTTTTGTCAATAAAGTTACTGTGTCGAATCGGGTACATGGGAGTACGTAATAAGTGCTGAAATTCAAACTGTTCGTATTGAAGTATTCTAGAGTTATATTATGTCTGATCCTGATTATAGCATTACTATATATTGAATACATGTAATGTGTATGATATTAAACGTATTTTTAGCACGTCTCAATGATATCTGATCGTTTGTGTTTGTGAGTGTCGTCCGCCCACAGCGCGTGTGTACTTCACGTTCAGTTCAATCACAACCAGCAGTCTACACGCAATATTATTTTTATAAAAGATTTTTTCCACGAATATATAGCAAACAAGTTTATTTTATCAACCAATTACAACGATGTAGGAAAATATTTTTTTTAACTATTTCTAAAGCACTAGGTGTTTATTTGTTTATAATTAATTTTAATGATTTTTGAATAATGTTTTACTATACTTGTAATTAAATAATTAATATTAAGTAATTATTTATCAAATTGGGTTTCTGCAACGTTGATATGAATTATTTACTTAATTTAAATGAATATCGTATGGTGTGTCGCCTCTCGATTATTTTTTTTTTCACCAAATTATTCCTTAAATGCTGAAAAAAAAAATCGAAATTGTAGATATAAATTGACAACATATAATATATATAGAACTTATTTACAAAAAACAATGGCGTCTATTTTGCCAAGTGTTCCCTTTGCATGTTGTTTTACTTGAGTTAATAAACTAATTTTATTGACTTCCTCAAAACTACTTTGTTAATTGCTAACGACTATGTATGTATTGATGTTAACTATATACAATTAGCCGGATACTGTTTACATGTGCTGTGGACTGTCAATACCATTAGTATTAACAATTGATTCACATAACAACATATTCACATCGCATTCTATTATTGTTGTACATTAGTTAATTGCTAATATATTGCAGTGATATTAAACCACAAATCAGTATCTGGTGAAAACTGTTAGGCTACTAGCAACGTGTCTGACTGAGTACCGAGGGGGACGACACCGCGCCGCCTGACGTGTCCGTATAACAATAATACAAAGAGTTGTGCGCGTGTGTGTGTGCGTGTGTGTGTGCGTGCGTCGCGGCGCGCTGTGTGCTGTGCGCACAGGCCGCGCCGCGCCGCCGCGCCGCCGTCCAATCGCGGTAGTCACGTGGTGCGTGTGTTGCGCGTGCGCAGAGGGCGAGGGCGAGCGCGGCTCGTGCGGCGAGGAGGGGTCCGCGGAGAGCCCGCCCCCGCTGGCGTCGTTCGGGTACGCCCCGCCGCTGTCGCCGTCCCACTCGCGCAGCTACCAGGAGCTGCGGCCGGCGGCGGCGCCCGCACTCGCGCGCGACATGCAGGCCTACGCGCACCTCGAGGAGGCGCTGTTCAAGCCGGCGGCGGGCGGCGGGGGCGCGGGCCTGGCGGGGGCGGCGGGGGGCGCGGGCGGCGGCTCCACCGACGGCCTGTACCTGCGCGGCCGCAGCCCCGACCTGAGCCCGGAGCCCGAGCGGCGCCGCGACGACTACCGCCCGCTGCACTACGACGCGTACTCCGCGCCGCCCGCCTACGATCACCACCATCACCACCACGTCGACGGGTGAGTACCATCAACTCTATCTTAACCTTAACAGAGCAACACACGAGTTTCTTGGGATGAGTCTGGGTTCTGACTGTGTGGTAGAATAAAATAAATGTGACTATTCAAAAGTGCTTATATTAAGTTTATTTGAATAAATAATATTTATATTGTGTTCTATTGTTAACGTTATGTTACTACTTATGGAGGTCACAGGCTCGCCATTACATATGACATCCATATCTCCGTCGTACAGTACTATCAAAAAGTGTATAAATAAATTTAAACGATCTATTTACTCATGAATACATACTCTATAGAGTTGAACACGGCTATTAATTTACTATGATATTTATTAACTTTTAATACTGACGATGTGTCAGTATTAAAAGTGACTATTTTTATAAGTATATTAAATTTTTAAGTATATGATTAATCAATAATTTTTTATTAATATATTGTTGTTAGTTTCGTTAAAACCATTACGAAATACAATTTACAAAAAAAAATAATAATTAATAATGCTAATTGTAAAACAAAATGTTTTCAATATTTATATATTTAATTTAAATAACATATAATAAATGAGTATAGTGATAACGTTTACATCAATTGTATATAAAAATAACGGAATTTTCGTTCTCAATTCGCTAAAACCTGTAATATCAATAATAGCTACTCGCCCCGACTTCGCCCGGGTGTACATGTATTATATATATATATATATATAAACCTTCCTCTAGAATCACTCCATCTATTTAAAAAAAAGCTTCAAATCTGTTGCGTAGTTTTAATGATTTAATCATACATAGGGACGGACAGTCAGCTACAGCGACTTTGTTGTATATGTAGTGATGAGCTAAGAGAATTCACACAGCGCCATCTAGTTCAAAACTAAACGGCTTGTATATTGGCTAAACAGTTGATAGCTGAACAGTGTTTTCTTTGTGTAAATACATAAATAATATACTGCATAGAGAACACTCACAATAATTCAAACATACTCATTAATACTTGTATTATGCAGGATCAGTTCTTGAAATATAAAATAAGGCAACCAATATGACCATGACCATGTCTCATTTCTTCTCCATTTATACATGATGCAGCTTCAGGTTTATCGGGTTCAGGTTATCATCAGATGTAACATAACTAAACATAGTTTTATATTTATATATACATATATGAATGTCATTGTTCTTTAGTAAGTTTTGTACATGTCAGTGTTTAAAAAAACCTTTCTTAATATATGTTTATTTATATATTCATATATGTTTATTTTATTGTATTATTTTTTTCACGGGTTACATTATTGAAGTTTTCATACTGATCCATAACGCTTTTGAAAGTATTTTATCGAATATGTTCATCAGGGATAATGTAGGATTCTAACAGTAATATAATTTTTAAAATAGCTCCAGTAGTTTCAGATCATTTTCATAGCAAACAAACAAACAATCAAATACTGCCTCTTTATAATATTAGTGTAGATATTATTTTGTATGACAAATAGTTACACTAGGGACACGGAATTTCGTAATACATATGCCCCGTAGTAGGGAGTGCATATAATTTGCTAGTATCCTGTACGTGTAATGAAATCACATCGTTATCATAACTGGCAGGAATTATATAAAGACTAGCTTTTGCCGGCGGCTTCGCTCGCGTTAATTTATCCTCTTAGGCCGCCCATTGTCCCTTTGACAATGTATGTTTATTCATATTTATATATTAATAGTGTATATGAGAGGGACTAACTAAAAATCAGCGCTGTGCAGCGCACGAGTAAACGTTACGCTCACAGCATCAGCTGAGTCAGCAGCTTTTGTCCAGAATACGCAGTTTGAGGTACTACTGTTGCTATTTTATACGTAGTTTAAGAGGTTCATTTTTTTTTAGGAATTTTTGTTCAACAAACAGTGTACGAACTCAAATGTATATCTATCTTTTGTTCTCGCAATATAAATATTATTATTATTATATAAATAATTGTTTATATTGTATTTGGAGTAACAATAAAGAATTTTCATTTAATTTTTTAACTGCTCCAGACTTGCGTATACCGTCGAATTACATTAAAACTCGAAAAGGAACTTCGTCTGTTAGGCCGCGAGTATACAAGGCTTCTGTATCAAAGCGGCGCCGAACTAAATCGGTAATTGTGTTGTATGGTGTTGTGTTGTATGTAGGGCTGGCAATTTTTTTTCAAACAACAAAAATAACGTATAAACTGTTATGGTTAGGAAAAAAAGTATTTTTCTAATTTTATGTTTTTATTGCTTTAAAAAGGTATTTGTGTGCTTTTAGTAGGTACATGCTAACGATTTTTTGTTATCGTTAAATGTTGCAAAGCTTGTTTGACAATCAACATTTAAATTTAAATAAATAAACAATTCGTTTTTAATTTTCAATTATAAACAAAACCAGCGGATCAATTTTGTACAATTTCGTCGATAGTGAGAGACATCTGTGAGCTGTGACAAATGTCACAACTCACAATTGACGTTTTACGCATCACAGTAAAGCTTTAAAATAAAGCATTTTGCTTACTTTATTTGTATGTAAATGTATAAAGTATAATTACCAAAAATAAAGTAGGATACGTTATTATAAATAAAGTATGGCTGGTAGCCCTAGTTGTATGGGAGCCGCGCCGGTTGTCCTCCGGACCGTTATCAGCTCGCCGTGGCTGTCTGTGTGTGTGTGCTGTGCACACGCGGCAGTCTGTGTGTGCGTCTGTATTGTAGGCGTCGCTCACGAGCCGCACTACATCGCAGTGCAAGCCATTTGCAATTAAAATGAAATTAACCCACTATACTTCTCGCGTTTTACAATGGCACGGATGACAGATAGCCGACGACGTATACTTTGTACAAAGTGGTCTGCTCACCTATTTCAGTTGCTCAGCTGATCGCTTTATATGTTGTACTAGCTGTACCCCCTGATTTCGTACGCGTAGAATTTAACTTTATTTTTCTAAAATAAAAGTAGCCTAAATTACTCCTTATTACATCAGCTACCTGCCAAAAAGAGTCCCGTAAAAATCGGTGCAGCCATTTCAGAGATTACCCGGAACAAACAGACAGACAGAGAAAAATTGTAAGAAATGTTATTTTGGTGTATGTACCGTATTTATATTCATATGCATGTAGTATAAAACGGTTATTTTAATATTACAAACAGACACTACAAATTTATTTATATGTATAGATTTCAGCGACAATTGGCTGAAATTACAGAGTCTACATGATACTTTAGTCCTCCGGAATAAGGTTCCGCGATATTTATCACGGCTGTTTATTAGGCACATTGATTTTAGAAGAAAAACTCTAATCCCTCACATTTAAAGTAAGTAATCATGTTTCTAAGTAACAGTTTATATGTAACGTGCAACTGAATCAGATCGAGAATAAATTATATTTGCTGCTGTATATAGTCCACTGAATATCTTCATCACTGTTACATATGTATATGTAATCGTTGCCATATATGTAATGTGGAATTGAGGCTACTTATTTAGTCTATGATCTATATATAAGGGTGGTGCGACATGATGTCTACGTCTACCCTTTACCATCACACCGCTCGCCATCGACAGGGAATTCATCCTAAGTAGTCTCAGACAGTGCGGTTTCAGAGAAGCTTTCTCCGGCGTACACTTAGATTGTGGAAACTACCTGCCGAGGTCTTCTCACGAGACTACAGCATGGGGTTTTTCAAGAAGGGTTAAGGTTTCTTAAGGGTTGGTCATGCGTACGTGACACCCCTGGTGTTTCAGGCGTCCATAGGCTACGGTAACCATTTACCATCAGATGGGCCGTATGCTTATTTCCCACCATAGTATTATAAAAAAATAAACTTTATATTTCAAATACCAAATTCTCTTCGAAATCGTCACTTTTTTATATTGTGCCTTTCAGTTTCTCTTCATGGCCCTAGTTAGTAGTGTTTCTTTGTGTAATATATTATTATATACAATACTAGCTACTCGCCCCGGGTTCGCTCGGGTGTACCATGTATTACACATATAAACCTTCCTCTAGAATCACTCTATCTACTAAAAGAACCGCTTCAAAATCCGTTGCGTAGCTTTAAAGATTTAAGCATACATAGGGACGGTCTGACAGCGACAGCGACTTTGTTTCGTACTATATAATGATGATATATATTCTACAATACCCTGGTTTCCTTCATGTAACATGTATGTTAACGTTGAGTATATAAAGACTCAAACTGAACTTTTTAATTATGAATCGGTTTTCTAATTTCTTCGACTCTAAAAATGTCCGTATACAGTTTCTTTGCAGTAATGAGTTCGTGTCACCCGCATCACAGTGTAGCGCGCGGAGTGTACTCGTGTGTAGTATTGTCGTATGTGTAGCTCAGCAGTGCAGTCACTTTAGATCTTCGGGCCGGGTACTGTAGGTCGAGAATCTCGTGCACCACAACACCGGAACTGGCTACGAGTGGTACAAGTAGGCACCGGCTCGACTGCGCCGCTACGCAGGCGCTCGCCGCGTTTATTATAATTTTAATTGGCCTCGCATTCGAGTAGGTACCGCTAACTGTTAACCGAACCCTCCCCTCCCCCCACACCCCCCCCTCCCCCGCCACCCCACCTCCTTCCATTTGTTACAAACAATTCCATTGTTTATACAAAGTTCATATATTTTAGCGGTTTAATTGTCATTACAGTAAACACGCGGAATATTGTATTTTAATATTATTTATGTAATAATATCAAATACGCGGATTTCAAATTCAAAATATCTTTACTCATGTAGATCTATTACAGACTCTTATGATATGTCAAATTTACCGTCAGTTCGGAATG